GGCTAAAGTCTCTCGATGGGCAATAACTGCATTTCATAGGGTTACGCCCCTTGGATTTTTTTTTTTTTTTTATACTAGTTTTCTTATAAGGAAATATCCTCCGTTTATCGCAATTAGGGCAGCAGTGACTTACGAAAAACAAAAAAAAAATATTCTTTTCTCTTTTAAATACATTTAGAAGTCAGCAGGTGCCTTAGAGAAGAAAAAAAAACCATGCTCGATGTTTGTTAAAAGTCGGAGACTTTACGACTTCACTGGTTAAAGTTACGATGACGATCGAGTCGAATATAACCTCTTTTTTGAAAAAAAAAAATTTCATTGTCTGCTGCGGAGAAGACGATAATAAAATGACGTCAGAACCTGTTAGGAGTGGATGATACAACCCCCCGACTCCAAGGGACCCGATCAGAGCGCGGTGCGCTATCAGCTATAAAAACAAACATGGCTTTAAAAAAAAAGTGGCCAACCGGTTCTAAAACAGCGCGGTAGAAAGACAAAAAGAAACTTAGCGAATCGGGAAATCCCGATTGATCGCGCAAACATAGCTCAAGCATCGTGTGATTTACCCCTCATCCTCCTTCAAGTGAATCCCTACCCTCAAAGAAGAGGACCATAAAACTAAAAAAAATACAACAGAAATGGGGTTGGGGTGGGTGGGGGTGGGGGAGGATGGAAGGACCAGTAATAGTTTGTTTAACAAATGTCCACGATTTGCGGGCTCGCCAAAAAACATGAAAATAAAAAATCTGTTTAGGGACTTAAGGCGGAACAAAAGGACAAGAAAATCTTTCCCCCGTGGACCGTCCAGGCTCCACCCCCACCCCCACACCTCCCGGAAACCTCAAACAACCGCGCGGCACGGGGGTGCATGGCGAACATAACGTTGTAGCATGCGGGTCGCTGGCGTGTTGGTTTTCGGGAGCTAAAGAAAGTTGAGCTCTTCTTGCGTCATTTTCAGCTCCGCCCGGCTCCCCCTGGAAAGTATCAAGTGTTCCCGCCGATGCATGACCTACCTTTAACTGGGGGCACTTGACGATATCGTGCGTGGCACGCTCCCTCCTAATCAGCCCACTAATTAATCATTAGCACCAGGGCTATGAGGCGATGGCTGGTCTTTTGTAAATATTATCCCTTTTCTCAGCGCATCACCGTGATGTTACACACGACAGAGTTGATTTCGTGAAAGATTTTGTCAACAAGAAGCTGACTTTGATGAGAACATGCAACATCGAAACAGACAATCTCCAACGAAATAAAATAATTTCATTTTAAAAAAAAAGTTTTTTTTGTGTGTGCACTACTATACATTTGACTGATATTTTGCAAAAGTGCAAATACATATACATACATATGTTTTTTTATTAAATCGAATTTTTTTGGTAAAATGTATAGACTAACTAAAAATAAAACGAATCTGGCTAATCCAACTTTTTGTTTTGCTATTACACATTTCTATCGAACGTCTCGTCCTGTCATCATGATCGGGTCGAATCTTGCAATTTTTTTTCCAACCAGATCTACCACACTGATTTATTTGAAACTTTCGATTACTTTATATAATTAGATACTAAATTATTTCTTTTTAGTATACATGTTTGTTTTATTTTCACTTTGGTTGGATTTGATTCTAAATGTGGTTCAAACCAGAGTAATGAACTATTTCGATTTGTCCACAGACATATTTTATAAAGAGTACAGGTGTACATTTTTTCATCAAGCAGAACAATGAACTTATTCATAGCGTCCACAGATATATTTTTATAAAGAGTATTGGTCTACATTTTGGTTTATAGGAGAGCAAAGGATAAAATCAAGAAGGAAATTTTTGTTTACAATCTGTCAATACAACCGTGAATAATCAGTTTTAATTACGTTCTTAGTCAGCAGTTAAAAATATATATACTAGTAAAAATAGAATAATATACACACAATGAATGTTTCAACCACACATATTACACCAAAATCGCCAGAAAACAGAAAAACAAAACAACAAAGGAAAAATAGATGTAAAAATACACAGAAATGTGATATTTTGGCTATATTTAAAAATAAAAATCTACTTAAATAAGTTCTTTAACACACGAGTATCGGTATATCATGTTATATTGCTGCACACTATATATAACAGCTGAGACAAATATGCTTTGTCACCATGACCAGTGATAAGCTAAACCAATCAAATTACTGGTCTAAAAAAACTATTTCAACTTTTTGACCGTGTCTGCCACGAGATTACCTAATCTTGTTTTTTCCCCCCCTCCACACGTTCCGTCGTGTAAGTACTTGAGCTTACCTGACAACAGTTGTATCCCTTAGACAAACGTCGAGCAGGCTGAGTCCCTTGGCAGGAGTTGGGGGTTCCTCTTTGGACCAAATGGTGAGTACTGATGATGATGGATCAGCGCCGTGAACATGCGGGCACGATTATCGCGGCAAGGCAAGCAGGCATGCTGGCGCTCTGATTGTCCCGGCGAAGCCTTAAATCACCGCGGTGTAGGCAGGGGCGCTTCAAAACTCGGACCGTCAAATCCGAACCGTGTGTGTGAGGATTCTGGAATATTCTGCTCTATTGATGTGAGCATTCGGTGTATTCAGCCGTTTGTTAATGCTGCTAATGTTTAGGGCGATTAAGTTAAAAAAAAACATGTTTCAGGTTCTGGTTAAAGAAAGAGACGGGCGAGGAAAGGAGTTGAGAAAACTCAAGATGAATCGTTAGGAAAATTTTACTTGATTAAATTTACACATAAACATGACGTGGCCTGTTGGGCTGTTCGGAAAGTGTGAGCTGTCTGAAAGCTATGGACTGTCTTTAGCTGTCTGAAAGCCACGCCTGTCTTTAGCTGTCTGGAAGTTTGTGACTTTTATAAAAAAAAACTATGTACAAAAACAGTTTTCAAAAAACGCCGGAAGAAAAGAGAGCTAAAATTCAGCTTTTAACAAAATTTAAAAATAAATGCAGCAGTGTAACTTAACACTCTCTTTCCCCCTCCCACCCCAATTTCACAGGTCACAAAATTTTCCTACCCCCCCCCCCCCCTCTTTTAGGAGTGTGGCGTCATTTATAGACGACATCATTAACGTAACCTATCTGTTTCTCCTTTATGAAATACTGCAATCATTTTTTTAGCCCATTGCTATACATGCATACAGCAGTAAAAAGCGTAAATAACTAATGATTGCGTTTTTACTTTCTCGTATATACGTAGTATAGAGAAAGTATTGTAATCGTGCAAAAAAAAAATCGAGATTTTTACAAATCTCGACGTTTTACACCTCACTGATACGGAAAAACATAATTTTGCAATCTTGTCCGTATGTCTGTGTGTGTGTGTGTCTGTCTGTCTGTCTGTCCGTGTGTAAACACGATAACTTGAGTACCGTTACAGCTAGGTTGATGAAATTTCATATATAAGTATTTTATCAAAATCGTAGATCCGTATCAACTTTTGAGCGATTTCCGACAACCGGAAGTGGTACTTTTTCTACTTTGAATTTTTCAAAAGCCTATAACTTGAGTACTATTTCAGATAGATAAATGAAATTTCACATGTAAGTAAAAGATCTAATTCTCTACCTTCTGTTAAATTTTGAGTAATTTCCGTTGACAGGAAGTAGTAATTTACGCTACTTCCGATTTCTCAAAAAACTAATGTAAATTTTAAAAGTACTAATAATATTGCGCACTATTATGCGCTTTTTTATTTCGCGTTCACTTGGTGTGCAATTAATTTGTCTACGAGATTTTATTCTATTTTTAAAACTTTAAGTATTTAAAATGGATTAAAAATCATGTCTATAGCCCGAGTTCCCATCCCCTGTAATTTTATATAAAAATATTCGAGAAAGTTTAGGGGAGATCACTCCCGGTTTATTTAAAATACTTGATGGTTTGTAAAGTTTTGTGTTGATTATTTGTTTAGTTTTATTTGTCACAAGACAGCTAGGTCGTGCTACTGTATGAGCAGAGGGTGAGGACTATGGTGTCGTTGGCCGAAGAAAAAACTACTTTACAACCGAGATACGAATGTCGAACAAACCAATCAACACATGAAATAAATCAGGAAAAAAAAATCATTGTATTAGGTAGATTGTGGTGTGGTGACAACCCATCACAACAGGCATAAAACCGACATTCTAATTCTTCCGTTGTTATTAGATAACAAATTCCAGTAGAAATATCGAGGGCTTACCTTGTGACTTGTGGAGGTTTCTGGTCAGTGGCGGGGAGACTGCTCTTACTGCATCAACCCCCCCCCCCCTTTTTTTTTTATTTTAGTAGTCACAAAAAATCTAGAAATATCTAAAACGATAAAAATACTCTTCGTAATAGTAACATAGGTACAGAATAACTACCAACAGGAGGTAGGCAGAGGCGTAGCGACCCCTCTCGGCGCCCGGGGAAAAACTTTCAATTTGGCGCCCCCCCCTATATTTTTTATATTTATAATTCAAAATAGCAGCTAAAATGAGCTATTTTGGCGCCCCTAGGGTCGGCGCCCGGGAACATATGTACCCCCCCCCCCGCTACGCCTCTGGTGGTAGGTCTTCTGAGTTAAACCACTACATAATTATAATAAGGAATTCTTAAAGTAATTTTTTAAACCAAGACATTTAAAAGCTGTCGCGACATCGCACTTCTATGATAGCCATTTATCTCTTTTGTGATTGGGCAAACTTAGGTGAACATGGTTCATCTCTAAACAAGCATTAGTGTGTTTCACGTGCGATCCAGCGTCTATACCACGCGTGCGAGGTTAGTTTTCAGCATAATACAGCATATATCTGTTTAGGGACTGACCCAATAGGAGGCAAGCGCTGATCATGAAGTACGTCACCAGAGACTAGGAGAGCCATCTTATTTCAAGACACTGGCTGCACACATTAGACAGGATCCGACTTACATCTTTACAGGTGAGCAGGAAACGTCACAGGAACGAAAACCACGGGGGAAAAGACAGACCTGGGGGCGGAGTTTTCTTGAAGTACTGAAGACAGCAGGGATGTCTTGGGAGGTTGCAAAATTAACAACCAGGGAACATACTAAATGGAAGGTTATGGTTGAGACACTATTCTTCACAAAGAGGTAAAGAGGATTAAGTCTTAGTCAATACATACATAAAGATATATATGTACATAAACTTTTTGTGACCAAGACAAATGGGACTACCACAGAAAGCTCAATCCACCTTTGTCGGTCTCCGAAATTTACCTTGGAGTCCCCCAAGACAGTCCTGTCTCTGCCAACTATGTTTATATCCTGAGACACCTTGTATTTTTACTTACCGTTTTAGTACCTACCCCGACGTTAGTGCCATAAAATGATACCCCGGGAGCGCGTCCCATCTTTGTTCTGACAAGCCTGACACAGTTATAAGCTCGCCAGACAACTTAGTTTGGAGTGCCCCAGTCGGCCGTGTGTTTGAGAGCTGTTAGAACACGAGTCACAGCACTAGATGGTTTTTTAATGAACTGTTTTAAGTGTGTAGCACTCAATCAATCGTGTGTTTACGACAGCAAACCAAAGGCAGGCCTGAAACACGAGCCAGTAACTAGACCCCCCTCTTTCACCTGAGACCGACGTCAGTACCGTCACCGGCGTCACCGCGCAACAAAACTGCAACATCAAACTGCTCTCTGTGATAAATAACACTGGAGATTAAGGGGCGCCGAGCGGTGTCTGGCACCCTTATGATACCACGCTCCAGCGATCATTTCGGTCCTGTTACTCTGTTTTTTTTTGTTGTTCCTATCTAAGTTAATCTAAGCAGTTTACGTTGGAGGGCGATCTCCCTTATACTTCTAATCTAGAGATGTTAACTTCTCCCCCACAAAAAGGTGTGATCTCAAATCACATCGGTGGTCAAACGATTAGCCGGTGACGCTCTCGACTCACGGCACACTCGCCGGCCGGCTCGGCGGAAGTCGATCGGCCGCCATTAAATCCACCATGGCGTCGTCACCCAAAGTCAGCCACGTGGGCGACAGGAAGCGGCTCGCGCTCATTTGATCACGTGGCATCCTCCCGTGTTTCCCCCACTCTACCCAGACACAATAAACCTGATTACGTCGCTAATTAAATCTTCACCGTTGAATCGTCTACGCCAGCCTACCCTAACCCCACGCACTAAAGTCTCGTCGTAAACTATTCACAAAGATTGTACACAAGGCGCGTCTGTATCTTTACCGTCGTGTGTGGCCCGCTAAAAGACGCTGTAAAGATTTATTAGAATTAAATTGATTGAAAATAAGAGTTATAAAACGTCGCTACGTCGCACATACGCCCACACACAATGGCAAAAGAGTTACGTCTCTTTGAGGTGTTACGTGACAAGAATTGTATTCGACTACGGCTCACCCTGATTTGATTACATGATACTCGAGTATACTGTCCAGTCGATACAAGTTGCAGCTCAACTCATTGACACAAACTTCGCACCTTTTGTGTTTAGAGTTGCGTATCAAATAGGACGGCGTGCCTGGGATTTCGCACCTTTATATTTTATAGAGTTGCGCATCAGACAGGACGGCATGCTATAGATTTATCATCTTTAAAGGTGCGCATCAAATAGAACATTGTGACTGGGATTTCGCACCATTATATTTTATAGTTAGGCATCAAATTGGACAAAGCGGTGTCGAGTGCTAGAGTTAGCCGAAAGTTGGTAAAAAATACACTCAAAGTAAACGGTCAATACAACTCATTAAGATGGGGGAAACTGAATACTTATAAAGATAATGAGATAGGTGTATTGAATTGAGAGACGTTTTGTGGTCAAGATGTTTTTAACTACGCTCACACACAACCCACTTCAAATGTTATTAAATTAAGTGCACCTTTACAAATATTGCGCCGTGAAGGATCGGCCCACTGTAAGTTGAATCAGCCGTGGACTGGGATATAAACAGAACACAGGGGGAATAAAATACATTTTAATGCCCTACCCCGATCGTAAATCACTGAGGGCATATCCTGAAGTCGCATGCCCCTAAGATTTACCCCGACCCTTCCTGAATGCGCATCGCGTCTCGCTGGAACAGAAACTCGAGACTCTAAATTTAATTCGGGAATTCCCGTCCCTCAGTCGCAGGCACGGAATATCACCTGACGTATTACTGTTCAGAATGTGAGAAACTCTCACCCCATTCCAACGCTAACCTCTACCCGCGGGCGGGTTAAGTGAGATTAACTTAATCCTAACGCGCGGCATTAGGCGCGAAAGATGATGTCTGCTTAATTAAGACCTGAAACAAACGCCCGCGATCCTAATCCGCGTGTCAAAAAATTGTCCGGCCGATGTATCAGAGTTTTTTGTTTGGGTCTTGGGTGTCGGTGTCTTGTCTTGTACCGGTTTACTGCCGGCTGGTGTTCAGGTGACGGGTGGGGGAGGGTGGAGGAGGGGGGAGGCGGCTACTCTTACCTGTGACAGCTTGTTCAAGACGTCATGCTCTGAGCACTGTGAAGTTTTTTTTCTTTTAAAATCGTTTTGACACGGGGATAAAACTGTCAATGTTCAGCAGTCAGCAGCCTCCGCAGTTGTAAGATCATATATATATATATATATATATATATATATATATATACACACACATACATATATACACACACATACACACATACACACACATACACACATACACATACACACACACACACACACATATATATATATATATATATATATATATATATATATATATATATATATATATATATATATATATATATATATATATATATATATATATATATATATATATATATATATATATATATATATATATATATATATGTATTGATTTCCAGAACCAGACTGTTCTCGTCACTTTTCAAGATGTTTCTAACAAGGCTTCAAAGTTTTATTTTCCGTAATATTTCTGTATTAATCTCTTGGTGAAATTGTGAAATTGAATTGTTGTGTAATATAATTATTATAATGGTTAGATATATGGCCACGAACATTTTTAACCATGATACATTGATGTATTTAGAACATAACACATACAGGTTAATTCTTTCTACCTAATTATCAAGCGTGAAGATTAGAATCATTTCTATATTTTTCACAGTTCACTTACCTTATGTTAATTAGAGACCCAATTAAAATGTTGGCCGTTGTCTTTCTACTTATTCCTTTGAACAGAGTTGAACCAACATTGCCAGTAACTTCTGTTGGTTGTTGAGATCAATCGCACTTGGATAAAAGAAAACCGTTTCGCCTGATCGTACGAATGGACCGTCGCACAGAGGTACGGACGACAAGCGGTGGGGTGGGGCTGGCAAGGGGCGAGCCCGTGGGGGACAGTGATCCGTTGAATGAACAAACGTTTCGCGTGTGTTGCCGTTTCTATACTTTGAAAAAAACAAAACGTGTCGCACCCCTCTTGAAGCCCTTCTTGAACTAATTTTCTAACTGCTAAATAATCTTTTTCTCTTTTAAAACAGAACCTCTTCAATCGAATTAAACAAAAGTTACTGGGCTCTTGTTTTAATATGTTGTGTATGTATGTGTGTATGTGTGGGGGGTGGGGGGGGGGGGTACGGGGTTAAATAAACGGCGCGTGCTTGGGATTGTCCATCGCAACATGTTTCTAATGACCGGGGTCATTAACCTGCTTGTGCTGCCCAGCGCTTTAGTTTGTATCGCTGTCACCGCAGACGGCGCTCGCACTTGACAAGTTAGCGGGACGTAGAACTACATCAAAGTCGGCCCGATCGGTCCAACATCTTGCTGCCGGGCACGTGGTTAAATGTAACCTTTTCATAATACAATTTATGACGAATTAAGAATATAACAGATTACACCGTAGGAGAAGGGGTGGTGGGGGTGGATTGTTTATCTAAGAGGGGAGGTAACAAAGGTATACAAGAGTAATCTTTCTCAGGTTTTGTTACAGCTATAAATTATTCGTGTCTGCCGTCTTTTGATTAGTCGAAATGTTAATTGTAGTTATTAAAAAAAAAAAAAACTACGATTTTTAATTACCAGCAAAAAGGCAACAGTTTGAGAGAGATTTTGTGATCTCTTATAGTTTTTGCAATTTAATTAATGATTTTTTTTTCATCGTATTAAAATGTTAAATTTGTTTTTCATAATTTTTTGTCATTTTTTTCTATAGTCAAACCACCCATTTGTTCAACTCGTCTGTATGTCTGTCTGTGTGTTTGGGATTTCTGATCTGCCACACGAACTGTTGCTCACTAATCAAACAGACAAGGCCGATATAGCCATTGAAAATATCTTTAGAGTTCGTTTAATAATATCAATAAATGTTTATTCATTTTGTTTTAGGTTTACGTAGTTGTTAGTAATAAATTTATATATCGACTTATCTTTATATCTAGATATGAAAAAGTAGAAAATAAAACATTCGTCCTTTATTTTAATACGCTTTTCATTGTACTGAGAATATAGAAATAAAAATTCATTTTCTTAAGATAAGATAGATTTGTTCGCCCGCTTTTGAAACTATTACAATATGTATTTGATTCCATTAAAAATATTTTAATGATAGAAGTTTATTACAAATTATCTTTGAAATTAAATTTAATTCACGTTTTTCAAGAATTCTTTGTCATTGACAAAATCATGAGACTAATGACACCACTTATTCCAAACATTTTTATCAACTTGACAAAATCACGACACTAATGAAACCACTTGTTCCAAACATTTTTATCAACTTGACAAAATCACGATCGTTGTGACAGCTGTACAGAACATTTGAAACAACTTGACACATTCACGAGGCTTGTGACACAATTTACACAAGTTGGCCAACTCACAACAAAACTTCAACAACTTGACCAACTCACAACAAGACTTCAACAACTTGACTCACAACAATATCTCAACAACTTGACCAACTCACAACAAGACTTCAACAACTTGACCAACTCACAACAAAACTTCAACAACTTGACCAACTTACAACAAGACTTCAACAACTTGACTCACAACAATATCTCAACAACTTGACCAACTCACAACAAGACTTCAACAACTTGACCAACTCACAACAATATCTCAACAACTTGACCAACTCACAACATGTCTTGAACAACTTGACCAACACACAACAAGATCTCAACAACTTGGCCAACTCATAACAAGACTTCAACAACTTAGCCAACTCACAACAGGACTTCAACAACTTGACCAACTCACAACAATATCTTAACAACTTGGCCAACTCATAACAAGACTTCACCAACTTGACTCACAACAAGACTTCAACAACTTGACCAACTCACAACAAGACTTCAACAACTTGACCAACTCACAACAATATCTCAACAACTTGACCAACTCACAACAATATCTCAACAATTTGACCAACTCACAACAATATCTCAACAACTTGGCCAACTTATAACACGACTTCACCAACTTGACTCACAACAAGACTTCAACAACTTGACCAACTCACAACAAGACTTCAACAACTTGACCAACTCACAACAATATCTCAACAACTTGACCAACTCACAACATGTCTTGAACAACTTGACCAACACACAACAAGATCTCAACAACTTGGCCAACTCATAACAAGACTTCAACAACTTAGCCAACTCACAACAGGACTTCAACAACTTGACCAACTCACAACAATATCTCAACAACTTGGCCAACTCATAACAAGACTTCACCAACTTGACTCACAACAAGACTTCAACAACTTGACCAACTCACAACAAGACTTCAACAACTTGACCAACTCACAACAATATCTCAACAATTTGACCAACTCACAACAAGACTTCAACAATTTGACCAACTCACAACAAGACTTCAACAACTTGACCAACTCACAACAAGACTTCAACAACTTGACCAACTCACAACAAGACTTCAACAACTTAGCCAACTCACAACAAGACTTCAACAACTTAGCCAACTCACAACAAGACTTCAACAACTTAGCCAACTCACAACAAGACTTCAACAACTTAGCCAACTCACAACAAGACTTCAACAACTTGACCAACTCACAACAAGACTTCAACAACTTGACCAACTCACAACAAGACTTCAACAACTTGATCAACTCACAACAAGACTTCAACAACTTGACCAACTCACAACAAGACTTCAACAACTTAGCCAACTCACAACAAGACTTCAACAACTTGACCAACTAACAACAAGACTTCACCAAATTGATCAACTCACATCAAGACTTCAACAACTTAACTCACAACTAGACATCAACAACTTGACTCACAACAAGACTTCAGCAACTTGACTAACTCACAACAAGACTTCACCACCATGACCCACTCACAACAAGACTTCACCAACTTGACTCACAACAAGACTTCAACAACATGACCCACTCACAACAAGGCTTCAACAACTTGACTCACAACAAGACTTAATCAACTTGACCAACTCACAAAAAGACTTTTTGACTCACAACAAGACTTCACCAACATGACCCACTCACTCGCCTAACCTGAATCCTTATCGGATGTCATCATTCCATTGGAAACAGCCCGGCTTACATGAACACACCTTCAATAACCAAAGTGATCTACAACTCACTCAATTAAACGTACCACTCATCGTTTGCGCTCTAGACACCTACACATTAAATTACCTATCGACCTAGTCGAGTGTTGGCCCGCATGTTCTAACACATTAGTATTTATGATCCAATTATTTGTACCTGTTGCCCGGCACATCTGTAGGCGTTGTCAAGCGAAACTTCCACCTCGTTCGTGGGCCTTTACTATGTAAATTTGGCTACCAAGGTGCAGGATTGAGAGTAAGTGGAGAACTATGCGTGGGCGGAGTTCGTTCACAGATGGGGGGTTGTGGGGGGGGGGGGGGGATGAGGGGATATATACGTGGCCGATGAAGGCGTAGGCAGTTGGGTCACGTGGTCGAAAATTAATTTTTTTTTTACTCATCCGTAATTAGAGAAACGTGTGTATTTCACGTGGTTATATTGATGTTTTGTAGCATGAGAGGGGTGGTAGCTGTAATTGTTCCTTACTTTGTGAATCATGATGACGTCTGATTTTGGTAGTTATCTGTTATTACCAGTGGTATTGGCGAGGGGGTATAATATGAGTTAACCCCCCCCCCCCCCTTTCCCAGCTTTTATGACCCCCAAAATGAAAGTTGTCTGACTTATGGGTATTTGAGACGATGCTCCCATGTCGCTTTATGTTAACTAGTTCAAAATTGTGGGCGTCATAAAAACATAAGCATTTTTTACCCCGTGATATCGGTATATAAAGGTATAGTATGGCCAGTTCTATGTACACCCATATCTACTTTCCGTAACGTGAGTCAGGTACCCGTTAGAGCTGGGTGGACTAAGGAAACGTAATCAGGGATCCGAACTCGTGACGCAGCCATGTGCTCTACTGTCCCACGCGGTTCCGGTGAATTTTCGATGTCATTTGTTATTTGTCATTAGCCACGAATGTCCGTGACGTGAAACATGACATTGTCCCCTGACACTAGTCTGTAAACTTATGACGGCGTCATGATTTCTCCTGTCTTTCATGTCCAACAGATAGTGTTTACAGTAACGTAGGTTAATTTGCAAGCTGATAGCAGAGCTTTTAATAGCGTATGTGAATTAGTGTGGTAGCTAAGCTTTCAATATCCGATGAGGTTGAATGATGATATCAGGGCTTATAGTAGCGAATGTGAATTTGTACAACACATCTTTCCGAAAGAGCCCTCATTTAGAGGCTGGTTCTTGCCCTAGCCTGATGTCCCCAGCGACCTAATTCGATGATGTGTGACCAAACGGACAACGGCTTCCTAAAGGCGATTAACTCGCAGTTATTCTTTCTTTTAGTGCGGCGAAGCGCGTCGTAAAACCACCCATGTGTGATGATACTGGCATCGACAAACAACGTGTGGTGGCGGGTGAGCGGCGGGGACGTGCCAAAAAGGTCATGGTCACGGTCATCCACCGCCGGATTAACCGGGCTGTCTCTGTGGGTGATCTGAGGGAGGAACTCACGGACCGTTCAGGTGGAGGGGGCAACAGGTGGGGCCCTCGCCACAAGTCCGCATTCAGCCGTTGAAGTTTTTAAATTGTTTTTTTTTTAATACAAAGAACAACATTCAATTTAAACTCCTAGCGACAGATTTACAAGATCTGTTTTTAAATATAAAGTCATGTGATGTCACTACCTTCGATACCTTAGAGCAGGCCAGTTGCGGCCCGAGAGGCCCTCTCATCCGGCCCGTGGAGATCTTTTTGTTTACCGAAAATAATTACAGAAATTTACGCGTATCCTTCCAAACTTGTGCAATGATAATCTCAGGTCACTCATGTTGGGGACATCAAAGCTAAAGCCGAAAATGTGTTCTATTCTGGCATACAGGAGACAATTTCACCATTCCCACCAATACAGGTGTTCATGTGTAGTGTTTCAATGTGTAGAATATCAATGTGCTATCACATAATTACTGAATTTAATAATTATTGAAAACAACATCCATATTTTGATTCTTTTTTATTTGGACCTCGAGTGTGTTCTTGGCCCACATGCACCTATTTGATTTTTAATACGGCCCTCGAGCTGAAAAGTTTGGAGACCCCAGCCTTAGAGCATCACTCTCTCAAGAAAAGTTATATATGACCCTATTGATTATCACAAATGTTTTGATATCACAAGCCCAGCGGCGTAGCAAAGGGAGGGCGGGAGAACCGGCTGACCCAAACATATTTAAAAGATCATTTTAATTATTGAAATATACACAATCAAACTTCAAAGTGGGATACCAAAGCAAAAACCAGTGACTGGTAAAAAACGTCACCAACCTTTCCAACGGGAGGAAGGCGGGGGGGGGGGGGGGCTTTTTCACCAACAAGAATAACAAAATAATATAAATCGGAAACGCCTTCGCATAAGCCTGTTGATTGTAACTATGACACGAATGTTCACGGAAATATCAAGAAGTCAGCTCAACACACCATGTGTCAACATCTTGTTCCAGTCAGTCAACAACCCGCATCTATTGAAAGTATTGTATCGTCTCTCTCTAGGTCTGCTCTACTTAATTATAATTGGTAAACACTGAAATAACGAAATTAGGTTTCAAGAAATTACAAATTCATATAGTATTGTATTATATCTGTGGATCCGCTATACGTATTTATAGTTGTAAAACAGACTGAAATAATGAAATTAGGTTTCAAGAAATTACAAATTCATATAGTATTGTATTATTTCTGTGGATCCGGAATTCGTAGGTCTATTTGTAATTGTTAAACAGACTGAAATAATGAAATTAGGTTTCAAGAAATTACAAATTCATATAGTATTGTATTATTTCCGTGGATCCGCTATACGTATAATTGTAAAACACACTGAAATAATGAAATTAGGTTTCAAGAAATTACAAACTTCTATAAAAAAAATTAAAGTTCAGTTTCGAACCTGTCGGTGCATGGGGGCAAGTGAAGTAGAGTTCACCAGTTTCTGTGAACTCGGTACTTTAAGGGATAGTGTGGTCAGCGTTATGCCCAACAAACTCATATAGTAGTGTATTATTTCTGTGGATCTGCTATACATAATTGTGATTGTTAAACAGATTGAAATAACAAAATCAGGATTCAAGAAATTAAAAACTATTGGATAACGGTGCCCGATTGAGTTCGTTACATGAGTTCGAGACAGCTGAACATTCATGAACACGTACTGGACTCTTAGTCACATTTAAATTATAGTTTGGGTTTTTTATGTGAACATAGATCTATTCTATCAATAACATAAACTATTTGCTTTTCAACAAATCACTTTATAAACACTTTGTAACAGTTCGTCCCGCTTTTAATAACAAACCGGCTGTCTCACAATCAGTTTTTTTCACCGGGGGTGGGGGGGGGGGGGGGGTGGCACTTGATATTTTCGGGGGGGGGGGGTGGGGGCACTAGTAAAAGTATATGTTTACTATATAAATTCCTTCTCGTTCGGGGTGGGGTGGTAGGCTTTCTACGGGGGGGGGGGGGGGCGAAGAGATGCCTGGAAGAAACTCTGCTGACAATTCCAATCAAATATAATAGTGTGAGTAGGGGGGAGAGGGGTGGGTGGTTTTATATTAAGACACAACCACATATAATGAGCTGCACTTAAGCAATATAAGGACAGTACACAGCATGAAGATACGTGCCTGGACAGACGTGAGCAGGAATCTACGGCAGATGAAAGATGACGGCAGTTATATGTCCAAAGTTTTAAGCCCTGAGAAAACGGAAGTAAACGAAACACGACTGTCTTTCAACATCAGTACCTTAGGTAACCTTACAGGCATTATCAGCCGGTCTAGAGAGAAAGAAAAAAACCTGTAAAAACAACAGATGTGGATCTTAAAACATTAAGTATCCCTAATTAAACTGAACAAAAAACAACCACAATTCCCCCCCCCCCCCCCACCCCTTGAAATTAAGAAAAACAATCCTAGCACTCCTTTAGGCGGGCGCCATTGTTTTTAATGAACATGTACGAACCTCGCCAAGGGCAAAGTGTAAGTGCCGTAACGGTTGGGAAAAAAAATCACAACCAAACAAAACAATGGTGAATGTAATCGAGTGCTTAGTTGAGCATGACGAAGACATATTTTTCAGGCCGTGTGATTGATTCGCGATATTAAATCAGTTGATTGAATCTAATAAAACTAAATACACACTCCAGGAAAAAAGCTAGTGTAAAAAAAATTGAATTGAAATCTGCCATGCTTTAAAATATCGCCGCCGTAGCCGCGGTAATAATTGACATTCATTTGGGGGGCCAATAGTTATTTTTACTTGCTAAATTACCTGTAAAAAAAATTCCCTGTTAAATTGCCCGTTTTGATTTATCACGAAAAGATTTTTTTATTCTTTGTGTGCTCCTGACGTCATTGAGTGGTCACGTCATTTACCTGTGTAAATGTCCTTCACATGCCCCCCCCCCCCACACACATGTCCTTGATCCGATGTTGGGGGGTAATACTGCCCCCCCCCCCCCCCACGTCGTAGCACATCCACCCACTCCCCACACTTGTCCATTCCATGCAAGACAAAATAGAAACAACATAATTGATATAAAAATTACTGTACTTTAACCAGTGTCCACCCCCCGCCCCCCCCCCCCCCCGGAAATTTAAGCGCATCCTCCAACCAAATGTT